TTCTTTTATGTGGGCTTCAGGAGACAGGTTTGGTTTGATATCAACTCCTAGATCTTTCTCTCTGTCCGTTTCATGAAATACTTCATCTCCATTCGGTATCCTGTGTCTGGCCTCCTGTTACCACTGCCTAGTTTCATGACCTTGCATTTACTCGGGTTGAACTTTAGTAGTCATTTGTTGGACAATTCATTCAGTCTGTTTAGGTCATCTTGTAGCCTCCTACTATCATCCTCTGTTTTAATCCATATTATTTTTGCAACATCAGCAAACAATGATTGGAACGATTCTATACCCTCTGGGAGATCACACAGTGTGTGTGTGTGTGTGTGTGTGTGTGTGTGTGTGTGTGTGTGTGTGTGTGTGTGTGTGTGTGTGTGTGTGGTGTGTGTGTGGTGTGTGTGTGTGTGTACTCACGTAGATATACTTCCACTTCCAGTGTTGAGCGTCAGCTCTTAAGCCCCAGCTAGCAGCTGTCAGTCGTTCAATATACTAACTCATTTTGAATCGTTATTCTTTTTCCTCTTTACATTTAAAATTTTGTATCGAACTGGTCTCAACAACTTTCTAATCTTGTCCATTCTATTTATTTACGACTCTTAAAGTACAGTAGGTCTTACAGGCACCGCTCTGACTCCTATTGACGGGACTGTTCAATATTCAACCCGTTCTCGCAAATTCGTAAAGTCAATATTGACTTATTAACTACGTGCATAGGTGATATACTAAACATAATAGATACCCTTAAAAAGATTCATAGAAAACACCGACCTTACCTAACCTTGTTAGTATCTTAAAATAAGCATCTTATTGCTTCGTAATTACAATTATTACTTAACCTATACCTATTATAGGTTAGGTAATATTTGTAATTACGAAGCAATAAGATGCTTATCTTAAGATACTAACAAGGTTAGGTAAGGTCGGTGTTTTCTATGAATCTTTTTAAGGGTATCTATTATGTTAAGTATGTCACCTATGCACATATTTAATAAGTCAATATTGACTTATTAAATTTGCGAGAACGGGTTGCAACATTGTTCCTTCGGTCGTCTGTTCTTCACTTTGAACAATGTTTCTCTATCACTTGGTCAACTCCCATGATCACACACACAAATCACAATTGCGTGATGCATCAAATGAACAAATCCACAAGAGCAGTGACGAGGATTCGAACCTGCGTCCGAGAGCATCCCAGACACTGCCTTAATCGACTGAGCTACGACATGGTCATAAGGAGTTGAAACCGAACGGCCTATTGACATAGCTCGGGTGTATAGGGGGAGTTGTCAAACCCTGGTTTGTGCCTCGGAGAGGCTGCAGGAGCCAGAAAGTTCAGTAGAACTTCGGTTTGAACTCCTTTTGACCATGTCGTAGCTCAGTCGATTAAGGCCGCATCTGGGATGCTCTCGGTCGCAGGTTCGAATTCTCGTCACGGCCCGTGTGGATTTGTTCATTTACGATGTTGCTCGTCCAGTGTAGTAAGATCCTCCCACAGTGAGCACCTCACAGTCCCCCTCCCACAGTGAGCACCTCACAGTCCCCCTCCCACAGTGAGCACCTCACAGTCCCCCTCCCACAGTGAGCACCTCACAGTCCCCCTCCCACAGTGAGCACCTCACAGTCCCCCTCCCACAGTGAGCCCCTCACAGTCCCCTCCCACAGTGAGCCCCTCACAGTCCCCTCCCACAGTGAGCACCTCACAGTCCCCTCCCACAGTGAGCACCTCACAGTCCCCCTCCCACAGTGAGCACCTCACAGTCCCCCTCCCACAGTGAGCACCTCACAGTCCCCCTCCCACAGTGAGCACCTCACAGTCCCCCTCCCACAGTGAGCACCTCACAGTCCCCTCCCACAGTGAGCACCTCACAGTCCCCTCCCACAGTGAGCACCTCACAGTCCCCTCCCACAGTGAGCACCTCACAGTCCCCTCCCACAGTGAGCACCTCACAGTCCCCTCCCACAGTGAGCACCTCACAGTCCCCTCCCACAGTGAGCACCTCACAGTCCCCCTCCCACAGTGAGCACCTCACAGTCCCCCTCCCACAGTGAGCACCTCACAGTCCCCCTCCCACAGTGAGCACCTCACAGTCCCCTCCCACAGTGAGCACCTCACAGTCCCCCTCCCCACAGTGAGCACCTCACAGTCCCCCTCCCACAGTGAGCACCTCACAGTCCCCATCCCACAGTGAGCACCTCACAGTCCCCCTCCCACAGTGAGCACCTCACAGTCCCCCTCCCACAGTGAGCACCTCACAGTCCCCCTCCCACAGTGAGCACCTCGCAGTCCCCCTCCCACAGTGAGCCCCTCGCAGTCCCCCTCCCACAGTGAGCCCCTCGCAGTCCCCCTCCCACAGTGAGCCCCTCGCAGTCCCCCTCCCACAGTGAGCCCCTCGCAGTCCCCCTCCCACAGTGAGCCCCTCGCAGTCCCCCTCCCACAGTGAGCCCCTCGCAGTCCCCCTCCCACAGTGAGCCCCTCGCAGTCCCCCTCCCACAGTGAGCCCCTCGCAGTCCCCTCCCACAGTGAGCCCCTCGCAGTCCCCCTCCCACAGTGAGCCCCTCGCAGTCCCCCTCCCACAGTGAGCCCCTCGCAGTCCCCCTCCCACAGTGAGCCCCTCGCAGTCCCCCTCCCACAGTGAGCCCCTCGCAGTCCCCCTCCCACAGTGAGCCCCTCGCAGTCCCCCTCCCACAGTGAGCCCCTCGCAGTCCCCCTCCCACAGTGAGCCCCTCGCAGTCCCCCTCCCACAGTGAGCCCCTCGCAGTCCCCCTCCCACAGTGAGCCCCTCGCAGTCCCCCTCCCACAGTGAGCCCCTCGCAGTCCCCCTCCCACAGTGAGCCCCTCGCAGTCCCCCTCCCACAGTGAGCCCCTCGCAGTCCCCCTCCCACAGTGAGCCCCTCGCAGTCCCCCTCACACAGTGAGCCCCTCGCAGTCCCCCTCCCACAGTGAACCCCCTCGCAGTCCCCCTCCTACAGTGAACCCTCTCACAGTCCCCCTCCCACAGTGAGCCCCACACAGTCCCCCACCCACAGTGAGCCCCTCACAGTCCCCCTCCCACAGTGAGCCCCTCACAGTCCCCCTCCCACAGTGAGCCCCTCACAGTCCCCCTCCCACAGTGAGCCCCTCACAGTCCCCCTCCCACAGTGAGCCCCTCACAGTCCCCCTCCCACAGTGAGCCCCTCACAGTCCCCCTCCCACAGTGAGCCCCTCACAGTCCCCCTCCCACAGTGAGCCCCTCACAGTCCCCCTCCCACAGTGAGCCCCTCACAGTCCCCTCCCACAGTGAGCCCCTCACAGTCCCCTCCCACAGTGAGCCCCTCACAGTCCCCCTCCCACAGTGAGCCCCTCACAGTCCCCTCCCACAGTGAGCCCCTCACAGTCCCCTCCCACAGTGAGCCCCTCACAGTCCCCTCCCACAGTGAGCCCCTCACAGTCCCCTCCCACAGTGAGCACCTCACAGTCCCCCTCCCACAGTGAGCCCCTCACAGTCCCCTCCCACAGTGAGCCCCCTCACAGTCCCTCTCCCACAGTGAGCCCCTCACAGTCCCCTCCCACAGTGAGCCCCTCACGGTCCCCCTCCCACAGTGAGCACCTCACAGTCCCCCTCCCACAGTGAGCGCCTCACAGTCCCCTCCCACAGTGAGCGCCTCACGGTCCCCCCCACAGTCCCACAGTGAGCACCTCACGGTCCCCCTCCCACAGTGAGCACCTCACGGTCCCCCTCCCACAGTGAGCACCTCACGGTCCCCCTCCCACAGTGAGCACCTCACAGTGCCCTCCCACAGTGAGCACCTCACAGTACCCCTCCCACAGTGAGCACATCACAGTCCCCTCCCACAGTGAGCACATCACAGTCCCCTCCCACAGTGAGCACATCACAGTCCCCTCCCACAGTGAGCACCTCACAGTCCCCTCCCACAGTGAGCACCTCACAGTCCCCTCCCACAGTGAGCACCTCACAGTCCCCTCCCACAGTGAGCACCTCACAGTCCCCTCCCACAGTGAGCACCTCACAGTCCCCTCCCACAGTGAGCACCTCACAGTCCCCTCCCACAGTAAACACGTTACACTTGCTCCCTCCCATGTTAGACAATTTTCATATCATTTGAATTATTGCCTTCTTCACAAATCTGCATTATATTTAATAAATTAAGAATTTTATTGTATGGTTGAATATAAGTGACACTTCAGTGACACTTGCCTGTAGTGACACTTACAGGCAAGTGTCACTAGCCTGTAAGAGGGGTTGAAGTCCTGGAATGTTCAGCAGAACACGATCTAGAAGTATTATAGTGATTGAACAGATACTGAACCCTTCATACAGCTTGTTTAACGTGGTGAAAGGGCAGACACTGCTCTCTATATATGTCCTGTGTAAAGTCCTGGTTGAGCAGTCATTACTCGCTTTATAGAGCCTGTGTAAAGTGGTAATTGATGATACATTGCTACCTCTATAGAGTCTGTGTAAAGTGGTAATTGATGATACATTGCTGCCACTATAGAGCCTGTGTAAAGTGGTAATTGATGATATATTGCTAACACTATACAGCCTGTGTAAAGTGGTAATTGATGATATATTCCTGCCTCTATAGAGTCTGTGTAAAGTGGTAATTGATGATATATTGCTAACACTATACAGCCTGTGTAAAGTGGTAATTGATGATAATTCCTGATAGAGTCTGTGTAAAGTGGTAATTCATGATATATTGCTAACACTATACTGTGTAAAGTGGTAATTGATGATATATTCCTGCCTCTATAGAGTCTGTGTAAAGTGGTAATTGATGATATATTCCTGCCTCTATAGAGTCTGTGTAAAGTGGTAATTGATGATATATTCCTGCCTCTATAGAGTCTGTGTAAAGTGCGCTTAGAGAAATAAGAAAGAGAGCTTGTAACGTTCGGCGAGATAATTGTGATGCAGAGTGGCACTGTTCCCTCAGCCGTCCCTGATAATTGCCGGTGATTATCACAGAATCTGTCATTGTCGGCTATTGTGAGGCAGTGAGAGGCACCATTGTGAAGCAACGAGCAGCACCAGCAGTGAGAGTCACCATTGTGAAGCAACGAGCAGCACCAGCAGTGAGAGGCACCATTGTGAAGCAGCAAGCAGCACCAGCAGCGAGAGGCACCATTGTGAAGCAACGAGCAGCACCAGCAGTGAGAGGCACCATTGTGAAGCAACGAGCAGCACCAGCAGTGAGAGGCACCATTGTGAAGCAACAAGCAGCACCAGCAGTGAGAGGCACCATTGTGAAGCAACGAGCCGCACCAGCAGCGAGAGGCACCATTGTGAAGCAGCGAGCAGCACCAGCAGTGAGAGGCACCATTGTGAAGCAGCGAGCAGCACCAGCAGTGAGAGGCACCATTGTGAAGCAACGAGCAGCACCAGCAGTGAGAGGCACCATTGTGAAGCAACGAGCAGCACCAGCAGTGAGAGGCACCATTGTGAGGCAACGAGCAGCACCAGCAGCGAGAGGCACCATTGTGAAGCAACGAGCAGCACCAGCAGTGAGAGGCACCATTGTGAAGCAACGAGCAGCACCAGCAGTGAGAGGCACCATTGTGAGGCAACGAGCAGCACCAGCAGCGAGAGGCACCATTGTGAAGCAACGAGCAGCAACAGCAGCGAGAGGCACCATTGTGAAGCAACGAGCAGCACCAGCAGCGAGAGGCACCATTGTGAAGCAGCGAGCAGCACCAGCAGTGAGAGGCACCATTGTGAAGCAGCGAGCAGCACCAGCAGCGAGAGGCACCATTGTGAAGCAATGAGCAGCACCAGCAGTGAGAGGCACCATTGTGAGGCAACGAGCAGCACCAGCAGCGAGAGGCACCATTGTGAAGCAACGAGCAGCACCAGCAGCGAGAGGCACCATTGTGAAGCAACGAGCAGCACCAGCAGTGAGAGGCACCATTGTGAAGCAGCGAGCAGCACCAGCAGTGAGAGGCATCATTGTGAAGCAACGAGCAGCACCAGCAGTGAGAGGCACCATTGTGAGGCAACGAGCAGCACCAGCAGCGAGAGGCACCATTGTGAAGCAACGAGCAGCACCAGCAGCGAGAGGCACCATTGTGGACAAGATGAAGCGTTGTGGTCAAGTTGAAGCGTTGTGGTCAAGATGAAGCGTTGTGGTCAAGATGAAGCGTTGTGGGCAAGATGAAGCGTTGTGGGCAAGATGAAGCGTTGTGGGCAAGATGAAGCGTTGTGGGCAAGATGAAGCGTTGTGGGCAAGATGAAGCGTTGTGGGCAAGATGAAGCGTTGTGGGCAAGATGAAGCATTGTGGGCAAGATGAAGCGTTGTGGTCAAGATGAAGCTTTATGGGCAAGATGAAGCGTTGTGGGCAAGATGAAGCGTTGTGGACAACATGAAGCATTGTGGACAAGAAGCATTATTTTAACTAGGGGGAAGCATCACTGCGGGTAAAAGGGACCAGCACTCTGAGAATGTGAGAACATTGCGGTCCAAAGGAAACATTAAGCAAGAGGAACAATCCGTCTGAGAAACGCTAGTTTGAAATACGAAACAAATTTGTTGGAAAAAATCATAAAAATTCGGGTCAGAAAAAACATTGTGTGAAAGATGCATACAATGTGGGCAAAATACAATGCTGGAGGAAAAAAATTATGCATTTCAGGCACAATACAACACTAAAGTCAGAATGTATTACTTTAATACAGTGGGAGCCAGAGGGAGAGGAGGGGACCACCTCACAGATGTTCCATGCACAAGATATTTCCCTGGTGCCTGGGGATGACTTGTGGCTTGTGTACGCCACTCTGGCGTGGCAACACTTATTGCAAGATGGCCGTCACGCTCCGTTCTATTACCTTGCCATCCCCTATCCTCACTGCGACCTGCACCTACCACCTCACTACCACCTATCCTCGCTTCGACCTTCTATTAAGTAGCGTAAATTGAGACTAGAACTGCGTGCAGCACCTGAGCAGGTGAGCCCATTAGGCCCCACTGCTCAGGTGTTGGACAGAGTAGTGAGGTTGAGGACTAGAACCGTGCACACCATCTGGCCAGGGGGGCCTAATAGGCCCAGGTGGCCAGGTGGTGCAAGGTATGTAGGCCTTCCGGTATGTGGGGTGCTTTTTCACGGATGTTTGGCGCGCACCGGACGCGTGAGTGTCCCGTGTCTTGTTATTCATTACGGATTGATGGGGGGTCATATTGGGGAGTATGAGAGTATGTGGGTAGAGCAAGGAATAGGAGGAGAATAGGAGAAGAGTAGAATATAGGTAGATTAATATGTTTGTGTGTTTGCTGTAGAGTTAATCCTGTGTGTAGAGATAAATAGTTTGATTAATAGATGAGGATAAGTAATGCTATGTAGAGGGGTGGAGGGGGGGAGGGTCCCAACATAGGGTGGATATGTTGAGGGGTGAGGGAGGGGGGGCTCACCCTCGACCTGAGAGGGTCCTGAGGGGGTAGGAGAACAAGGGACTTAAGATGAGGAGGGAACAGCTGTTTGCGGTTTTGTGTTTTTGACAGTGGGGTCAATATTTTTCTAGGTGTCAGACCGGGATGTGTTGGGAGCTGCACCAGGGCGGATGTGGTCCTCCCCCTCCCACCCCACTTCCCCTCAGCTTTCCCCTCGACAGGTGAGAGCCTGTATCTATCACCTATCAATTTCACACACTCCGTGGGTCTGGAGGACTGCTTTTGATGACAGCAATACTGCACACCATAGTCACTCCTCTCACAGGTCACTCTGCCCCATAGCAGCAGCGAGACATGGGCCATGAGGCAGCCCACATTCCGCTAAGAAAGGAGAACTGTACTGGTGTGTGGTCTTTGACGCCTCACACATTAAGGTGTGGTCATATGTCCCACCCGCCCCTCACTCCCCTGGAGCGGTGTGTACAAATGAGGGTGAGAATTTAGCCGAACTGTTTTGTAAACAGGGTGTGTGAATGGGGCACCCCTCTCCCTCCCCCCCCCCTTACCTTCTAGAGTGGTACGGACCAGGACCACATACTGACACATAGACCTGAGAAGTGTCACCACACGGCACATCACTTAGTAAACTCAGTCAAAGTCAGTAGGTTAGCGTTTACTGAAAGAGGGAAACATTTTCTGGCGGGGAGCAAGCCTTCGGAGACGGCTCGCCTCTGTAAAGGTTGACACATGACTGAGGCTAAATGAGGCGACACCGCACACCTTAGCCGATCGCTCCCTCCCCTCACACTTGACACCCGCAAGTTATCAGCTTACACGCTTTTCTCGCTATACAGAATAATAAGTAAACAAATAGTTAGAAGTAAACCCATTATATATAATTTTAATCTTTTATTATTATTTAACTTCAATCCCAGGAGCTTCGCAATTACACACATCTGGGGTAGTGGTTTGAGGCATAGTGAGATGGACGAGGTTTTGGGATGACCTTACCCTCACCCCCATCCACCCCCACTAAACCCCAATCCCCTCCCACCCCCTTTCCAAGCCCAAACCTTCAAGCATCACTTCACCCCTCCCAGACCGGGTGTTCTATGCAAAGCCTTTAGTAGTAGTAGTATTTTTCTTCATATGTAGAGTAGTGATCCAGTTCACAAACACACAGATGCTATCCCATTCCACCCATGCTCACCAGAGGACATACCACGCTGGAAGACAGAAGAGTTTGGGGAGACGTGATCACTACCTATAAACTCTAATATTTTTTTTGTTAACTGTGTGATCACAACATATACCTCACGAATCTTAGTCTTGATAATTATTATTATTATTATTATTATTATTATTATTATTATTATTATTATTATTATTATTATATTTTAAAACCATCCCTCAGTAAGTCAAACAGCAACAGCAACAGTGGACTGAAGACTCTAATATGTTATGGGATAGACTGCTTCTCTCTCGAGTTGAATCATTAGTGAAATTCAATTTAGTAGGACATAGCATCTACAGTTTCGTCAGGCTGACCTTATGTCATTAGCACTGTATGACAGTTTAATTAGTTTATTTCATTTATTATGCACCCCATACCCATCTTGCGGGCAGTATTGGAAAGGGTTACAGTGGCACATAATGGGCTCAGGGACTGAACCCCATAATTCATTTAGCTAAGCAAGTTACAATCTTGATCAGCTAATTACAAAATTCAATATATTTTGGCCCATCGACAATGGGTTCGAGACCGACCACAAGTACAGTTTCTAAATTAAGCACTGTCAATTTCACTTTGCCTTAGATCTACAGGATCTTGTTGAAGATTTAGTTTTAACAAAAAGTGAAACACGAGAACATGAACTAATAGGGTTGAGATAGGAGGAAAGGCTTTGCGGAAGATAAAAGAGCTGAGGAGACATGTTCGCTACCTACATTTCTTCACGTGAGTTCATTTTAATTTAAAGTTTTCCATCTTAAATTAAATACTACTATCATCATCCATGTATTGGGTGGCTCAGGCATTCAGTTTACAACTTAGTAAGTGTTTACTGAACATGGGAATCACTTCATGCATGCTCATTTTTTAGTTTAGTTTAACGTTTTTCATCTTAAATAAAATATTACTATCATCAACCCTGTATTGGGTGGCTCAGGCATTCAGTTTACAACTCAGTAAGTGTTTACTGAACGTGGAAATCACTTCATGTGTGATTATTTAGCTTAGTTTAAAGTTTTCCAATCTTAAAATAATTCTTGATTAAAATAGCACTCCAAAACATCTTTGCACTTCTAATTTTTCATTGTCACGTGCACAGCTATCAAAGGGAATCTCACTACTGCACGGATGTCTTGTGTGTGTGTGTGTGTGTGTGTGTGTGTGTGTGTGTGTGTGTGTGTGTGTGTGTGTGTGTGTGTGTGTGTGTGTGTTAAATAATCGGTCCTTACCTAGCTTATCATTTTCTTTGAGAAACTTATATGTGGTGATCATATTTCCAGGGTCCAAACAACAACCCACACATCTCCCATCTTCTGTTTTCAAATCACAGCGCGCATCTAATTTAATGTTATTTTTTTGCAGAAACTATGTTTTGAGAATATGCTCAATGTCAGCAATTACTATTCGTATCATCAAAGTCCTTTCAGTCATCAAAACAAGCAGAGGTGCCGCATAAACCACTAAAGATCTGATGTATGCAAGGTACATCATTTTGACAATTCCGACACCGACCCGCCTCAGCGAGATGACTGTGCACAACAGTACCCCCAGCGAAAACATAGACCTTTAATAGCAACACAATGACACAGAATGTTCAGCACTCTTAATAATTTTATTCAAGCACTGTTAACATAACATAATGTAAGATTTTTTTCACATTTCATATCGCGTGTGTAGATTTAGTTTTAACAAAAAGTGAAACAGGAGAGCATGAACTAATAGGGTTGAGATGGGAGGAAAGGCTTTTCGGAAGATAGAAGAGCTGAGGAGACATGTTCGCTACCTACATTACTTTTTTTTTCTTGCAGACCTGCAGACCTGACCAGAAAAGCAGTCAGCCAGTCACTCAGTCAAACATTTTTATAGTTAAAAGTTTTTCATCTTAAAAAACAGGGACTACTAGTCTTCATTTTTTTTTTCTTCTATCAAATCAAATAGGCGCGAGGACCACTACCACATGACTAACTTTCGCTTGACTAGGTTAAGGACCGCAATATCCTACACCATACATGCTACGGGGCGGTCACTAGTAAATAAACACAATTTTGTGTCATTTCTTGACTAAAATAGCACTCCGAAACGTCTTTGCACTTTTAATTTTTCATTGACATGCACACAGCTATCAAAGAGAAACTCACTACTGCACGGATGTATTTTGTGTGTGTGTTAAATAAAAGGTTCTTATATAGCTTATCATTTTCTTTGAGAAACTTATGTGGTGATCATATCTCCTAAGTCTACACAAATAACCCACACCAACCCACATCCATATTGAGAGAGAGAGAGAGAAGGCAAACATAGCTTGGTTATTGCATCTAGTTTTTAAAAAGGGGTAAGAATAAGAAGAGTCATGTTCCATAAAAATACTTTACAGCATCCATTATTTATGTGCAGTAAGAGGAAGCGTGATCCGCACATACAATTTCCAAGCATTACAACGCTATCGAGGTAAACATAACATAAAAAGACAATAATGTAGTAGTAT